GCCTTCTTTTTGATGTTCTGGATCTTTCTGACTTAGCTGCAGCTTGTTAGGTAAGTTTAGATTTCAAAGGACCAGGCCATTCATATGCAAAATCCTCTGCACTCAGCTTGGATGGGGTGGAGTCTCAGGGCAGAATAAACAGCAATGGCTTCCCATCAGCCCTGCCCTAAGAGGGCCCTGGATCTCAGTATCGCTTGGTAATAACTGCAAGCATCTCTGAGAGAAAGCCACCCTCGTGTTCTACCCACTGCCAGACAGTCCAGTTTCTCCCTGTATGAGTCTGGGTCCCCAGAGTCTTGCCTGGAACTGGAGTTCAGAGCAGTCGGGAGCTTGTGTCTCCCTCCAGATTGAAAAAACCAGCCCTCTGAGCGCATGCACCTCCATACCTCTGCACTTTATTTCTGCAGCTCCTCTAAGTCTCAGTGTGCTTTTCTCTTTTCTCTAGTTGTAGAATTTCCACTTAGCCAGCCTTCCTGTGGTTCTGGATGATATCCATTTTGTCTTTTAATTGTAGTTTTGTAGTGGTTGTGCGTGGCAGCAAGTTCATATGTTTACCTATGCCGCCGCCATCTTGGGTTTTCTTCAGTAGCTCTGTTTTTAATTTTTTTTTTTTTTTTTTAAGAATCTCCACATTTTCTCATAGTGATTGAACTAATTTATAAGCCTACCAACAGTGTAAAATGATTCCCTTTTCTCCACATCCTCACCAATACTTGTTATTTGTTGATTTATTGATAGTAACCATCTGATAGATATGAAATGATATCTCATTGTGGTTTTAGTTTGCATTTTCCTGGCAATTAATGATGTTGAGCATTTTTTCATGTCTATTGGCCATCTGTGTGTCCTCTTTAGGTTCTCTTCCCATTTTTTAAAATTTAATTTATTGATTTTTTACAGAAAGGAAGGGAGAGAAATAGAGAGTTAGAAACATCAATGAGAGAGAGTCATTGATCAGCTGCTTCCTGCACACTCCCCTCTCTCCCCCACTGGGGATGTGCCCACAGCCAAGGTACATGCTCTTGACCAGAATCAAACCCGGGACCTTTCAGTCCTAAGGCTGATGCTCTATCCACTGAGCCAAACTGGTTTTGGCTCTCTCCCCATTTTTAAATTGGACTACTTGTTTTTTCTTTTATATCCCTTGCTCGAGAAGATATATCCAAAAAGATATTGCTAAGGTCTACAGTAAAGATTGTACTTATGTTTTCTTCTAGAGGTTTTATGGTTTCAGGTATAACATTAAGTCTTTAATCCATTTTGAGTTTATTTTTATATATGATGTGAAAAAGCGGTCCAATTTGTCAGCACCACTTATTGAAGAGACTGTCTTTTCCCAATTGTATATCCTTGCCTCCTTTGTCATAGATTAATTGACCTATAAGCAAGGGATTTTTTACTCTGGAGTTCAGAGTAATCAGGAGCTTGTCTCCCTTTGGGTTGAAAGAAGCAGCATACCCAGATACAAGCCTCCAGCCTTATTCAGGCGCCTCCATACCTCAGCTTTTCAGCACTTGTGCACATCTCAGTGCTCTTTTCTCTTTCCTTCTAGTTGTAGAACTTCCACTCAGCCAGCTTTCCTGTAGTTCTGGGTAATAGACGTTTTGTCTTTTAGTTGTAGTTTTGAAATTGCTGTGTGATGCAGCAGTTTAGATGTTTACCTATGCTGCCATCTTGGTTTCTGGAGTTGGATCACTAAGATCCCCAGAGGATCCAATGTTGACTTCCAAAAGGGGGGGATCCCTAGGGCCTTCCAAGGGGGGGTGGGAGAGTTCATGGGACTTAGGCCCAGGCTCCTTTCCAGCTTCTGCCAGGGTCAGGCCCTGGGCTTTCTGTGTGCATGTGTGTGGGGAGTGAAGGGGGTGGGAAACAGGAGGAAATACCCTGTAAGGTGAAGGAACATCTAGAGATTGTGAACAAGGCGAGTGGGGAGATAGCCGTGGACCAGGCGGAGCCAGAGCAGGGTGCGGTAGGGAGGCTTGTGGGGGGTTAGGGAGGTGGGACAAGGTTTGGGAGGGTGGAGCCAGGAAGGCTTTTTCTAGGCAGAGCGGAGCATCAGGCAGGGGCCTGTAATATTTTTAACAATAAATATTTTTAAAAATTTATTCCTAGATATTACTTTTTTAAAATTTATTGATTTTTTTTAGAGAGTGAGAAAGTGACAGACAGAAACAGAGACATGGATTTGTTGTTCTGCTTATCTGTGCATTCAGTGCTTGAGGCTTATATGTGCCCTGACCAAGGATTGAATCCTCAACCTTGGTATATTAGGACAATGCTCTAACCAACAAAGCTATCTGGCCAGGGTGGTGGTTTATACTTTTTGATGCTATTGTAAATGAGATAGTTTTCTTAATATCTTCTTCTGATCATTATTTTAGTATATAGAATTCTGAACAGATTTCTGCATATTGATTCTGTGTCCTGAAACTTTGCTGAAGTCATTTATTAATTCTAACTAGGGGCCCAGTGCACAAATATGTGCTCCTTGAAAGGAACTGTGGGCCGCGAGGCTGCAGTGGGCACAGGGGTGGGTCTCTGCTCATCCTCCGCACCCGCGTCTGGCCCCTCCTGCAGTGGCCCCTGGTCCCCTGTCTGCAGCAGCCCTGCTCACATCACTGCTGCTCCTACGCACTGACGGCACCAGCCCACTCATGCCCTCTGACAGCGCAGAGCAATTGGGGCCGGAGCCAGCAGTGGGTGCCAGCCCTGATTGCACCTTAAGAAGTGGAGAAGCCTTGAGGGAAGATCAGGTGCCGGCAGCATGTGTGAGTGCCAGGCGGGACCATGGTGTGCAAGAGCAAAGAATTTTCAATAACCACCAAGGCTGCCCCAATGACAGCAACCGGCACCCCACCTTGGTCTGATACCCCCAATCACCTGCTTCACCATCCCACCACGGCCACAGCCACCATGTCCCATGCGCACCCCCTGGTGGTCAGCACATGTCATAGCTTATTCGGTTCTACCATTCTGTCTATTTGCATATTAGCTTTTTATTATATAGGATAGTTGAGCTTTACTTATTTTCCCATTTGGATGCCTTTTATTTGTCTTGCCTGATTGCTGTAGCTAGGACTTCCCATATAATTTCAAATAGAAGTAGTGGTAATGGACATCCTTGTCTTGTTCCTGATCTTAGATAAAAAGTCCAGGACCAGATATCATCTGCCAAACATTCAAAGAAGAATTAAACCTGTCCTTAAAATTTTTTTTTAATTGAATAGGAAGGAATACTCCCAAATTCTTTTTATGAAGCCAGCATTACCCTGATACCAAAAGGAGATAAAAAGACATTACAAAAAAAAAAAAAAAAAAAAGGAAATTACAGGCCAATATCCTTGAACATAGATGCAAAGATTCTCAACAAAATTTTAGCAAGCCAGATTCAACAATACATTAATAGGACTATACACTATGATCAAGTGGGATTTATCCCAGGGATGGAAGGATGCTTCAACATTCATTAATATGATACATCACATAACAAAATAAAGGATAAAAACCATATGATCATCTCAGTAGATTCAGAAAAGGCATTTGACAAAATTTAACATCCTTTTATGATAGAAACTCTTAAATAAAGTAAATTTAGAAGGAATATCTCAACTTTATAAAGTCCATATGAAAAACCCACAAATAATAAACTCAGTGGTAAAAGGGTTTGTATTTTAAATTTTTGAATTATGCCTTAGCCGGTTTGGCTCAGTGGGAGAGCATCGGCCTGGGGACTGAAGGGTCCCGGGTTCGATTCCGGTCAAGGGCATGTACATTGGTTGCGGGCACATCCCCAGTGGGGGGTGTGCAGGAGGCAGCTGGTCGATGTTTCTCTCTCATCGACGTTTCTATTATAACTCTCTATCCCTCTCAATTCCTCTCTGTGTAAAATCAATAAAATATATTTTGAAAAAAATAAAAATAAAAAATAAATTTTTGAATCATTCAGCAACTTTTTCAATGCTATTTTTTATTCATTTATATTCCGCAGAGTTAGATTACACGAGGGGTTTATTCATTTACTAATTAAACTGGCAGAAGTTGAAAACTAGCAGATTGTGAGCTGAATCCAATCTATATTAATTGTTTTGTTTGGTTCATATGATATATTTTAAAGTGGGAAATTATAAACTAAACTCCAGATATTTGGATTTTCTTGAAAATGATAAGCTCTGTCAGCATTGTTCTTCAAGTCCTCTCCGGCAGCAGTCTGGATGGGAACATCAGCATGGCCTTTAGAGGGGACATGGGCTCTCTAGTTTGCCAGAATCTCCACAGCTTCTGCTGTCTTACACCTCATCTTCTTGTTGAATTCACTTATTTTACTTGCCTGGCCTTTTGAGCAATTTGGTGTTTTGTTTTATTTTTTAAATATATTTTTATTGATTTTAGGGAAGGAGGGAGGGAGGGAGGGAGGGAGGGAGGGAGGGAGGGAGGGAGGGAGGGAGGGAGGGAGGGAGGGAGGGAGAGAGAGAGAGAGAGAGAGAGAGAGAGAGAGAGAGAGAGAGAGAGAGAGAAACATCAGTGATAAAAGAGAATCACTGATCAGCTGCCTCCTGCACATCCCCACTGGGGATCAAGCCTGCACCCCAGACATGTGGTCTAACCAGTAACCAAACTGACCTGGTTCATAGGTTGATGCTCAATCACTGAGCCACACTGGATGGGCTAAACAATTTGGTTTTTGAACTCTGGCCCAATTTTCCAGGAAATGTTTGTTCCAAACTAGAAAAGTCTATATGTAAAACTACTGAGTGGGTGATGGTAGATATGTATATATGCAATATTTTAAGTACTCAAACATATAAAATTTTAAAAATTAGTACATAATTGTACTGGTACTATCTTAAAGCAAATGCAGCTGTGACTAGAATGATAAATGCAGCTGTGACTAGAAGAAAGTTTTAACAAACCCATAGATTTTTAAGAGCTTTCCAATAATTCTGAATTAGAATAAAGCTTTTTGACATCCATGTATCATTACTTATAATTTTTTTCCCCAGATGATGGAGGAAGATCTACAAGGATCTTCTCAAGTTAAAGAAGAATCAGACACAACAGAGCAGAAATCAGAACCAATGGAAGTGGATGAAAAGAAGCCAGAAGTAAAAGTAGAAGCTAAAGAGGAAGAAGAGAGCACCGCTAATGGTGCCACTTCCCAGTCAGCATCTCCTTCACAGCCACGGAAAAAAAGTAAGCTGTGTTTTCTTGAACTTACTGAACTGTGCTGCTTTGCCATTGTGTTGTGATTCCACATTATGGGTTAAAAGCTAAAGCAGAAATAGACCAGCATCTCCTCCTTTTTCTGTTTTGCCTGCTATTCTCCACATTGAAATGGGCTCCTCCCTAAGATCCCACAGGTTCATGGCTTACTAAGAAACAAGCCTTGGCTCTAGGGGGCAGGTCAGGGGCACAGCTGTCTTCTGAGATGTGCTGGCTGTGAAACTGGAGTTCAAATTGCATCTCAGTCCTTGAGCAGACCAAGGATCCCGGGCTTTTCTCGGCAAGGCATGAACAACTGCTGTCAGATTCAAGCAGGAAAACGACGGAAGGCCATGGTATGGGGGAAATATCGCCATGGCATACATGTAGGAGCTTATAGGTGTTTGCTGCTACAGATAAGTGCCCAAAGTAACAAGTGAGTGGAGTTGGGACCCTGTGAGTGGGTGGGGGCAAGTAAGTGAAGATGCTTTGGGTTCCGAGCTGTGTGGGGTGAGCCCGCCTCACAATGGATGTGATTTTTATTTGTTTCTTTTTTCTTTTTATGTGATTTTTAAAAATCACTTTGAGATGTGTTTAAAAATTAAAGAAGATAGCAGGGTGTCAGAAAATTGTCAGGTGACCCTTGGAAATGTGAGGACAGAGCTCATGAAGTTCAGGCCTGCAGGTGCTACATTTGGGAAAGATGGCAGAGAAATGTTAGTCTGTTGTTGGAAGGGGCCCTGGAGATTATGGAGAACAGCAGTTCTCAAACTTTTGGTCTTAGACCTCTCTGTACTCTAAAAATTGAGGACCCCAAAGAGTTTTTGTCTGTATGGATTATGTACTGCTGTCTACTCTATTAGAAATTAATACTTGGCTCAGTTTGAAATTTTGAAAATATTTAGTTCATTTAAAAATAAATCTATTAACTAACACCCATAAATAACACATTTTATGAAAAATAACTTTCCAAAGCAATGCATAGTATAGTGTCATTGTTTTTCACAGTTTTTTGGCTCAGAGATAAAAGTGAACACAGCTGCATTCTCAGGCCCTGCTTGTACTTTGTTGTATCACGTTGTTTGTTTGCAGTACACGAAGTCCCATTCCAGATAGATGGTTGATAAAGGGAAGAAAAACAGCCTTTTTAAATAATTGTGATTTTCTTTTTTGATACTACTACAACACTCAACAAGTAAAAGTTTTTTAAAGATTAGTTGTAGTGTGAAATATGAATCCTTAGCACTGAATTTTTCAAACTCTGACCTTAGAGTCCATTTGTCTGTTTTGTACTTTGAATTGATCCTTTGCCCTTTCATGATATACTTTATAACATGATTTTTTGGTCATCTGACAATTTGGTTCACTGAATTATGTAGATCTTCCTAATGTTAGCATACTTCACTATGCAATAATTTTTTTAATCACATTAATTAACATCACTATGGATCTCTTTTAAAAAATGTTTTGTAAATTTCAACAAGATATTAAGCTCCTGTGATAAATACAAATTTCTCAAAATTTAATTTTTAAAAAAATATATTTTATTGATTTTTTTACACAGAGGAAGGGAGAGGGATAGAGAGTTAGAAACATCGATGGGAAAGAGACATCGATCAGCTGCCTTCTGCACACCTCCCACTGGGATGTGCCCGCAACCAAGGTACACGTCCTTGACCAGAATCAAACCTGGGACCCTTCAGTCCACAGGCTGATGCTCAATCCACTGAGCCAAACCGGTCAGGGCAAAATTTAATTTTTTATGAGAGTCCAGATTTTTATCTTTGGCAAAAAATACCATCAGTTGTCCTTGAAATAACTCCAACTTTGTTCATTTTTGAGAATATGTCTACCACATACCACATCTGAATAACTGTAGCTTGTCTTATCAGTCATTCCATTTTTATGTGTTTCATTAAAAAAGGAAGCAATGACTTCAGCTTTTAACACTCGCATAAGTGCTTTCTCTCGAGACAAGTACTGCATGCAGTAGATGTGCCTTATACCAACCATCCCCCCCCCTTTTTTTTTTATATAGGGTAAAAGACGTGTAGCCAAGGGTTGAGGTTTAACACAAGTAATAATTTTAACTGCTTCAGCAATAATATTCTTAAGTGCAGCTGGCATTTTCCCCTGTGTGTACACAGTGGCAGCAAAGACCTAGTGACTACTAAGTCAGGTTTGGGGAAACTGCTGCCATGCTAGAAATTTTACTCCCCCTTGTTAGTGCCCCATCTGTATGAAGGTTAGCACGACATAAAAGGCAAGTAACAACTTAGTGTTATTATGAACGTTGTTTTATATTACATAAATAAATTAGATTTCACAGACCCCTAGAAAGGCCTGAAGCAGTACTGGAACTTTCTCTACTCTCCATTACCGTGTTCACCAGCCAAATGCAGCTCCTGAGTACTTGAGATGTGACAAGTGTGACAAAGAATTGAATTTTAAATTTTATTTAATATTAATTCATTTAGCTTTAAGTAGCCACATTTGTCTGGCAGCTCCCATATTAGCACAGTGCTCCTCATGGTACCCATGGTCCATGTTTCGAGGATTACTGATGTGGTACACCCCACTGATTGTATGGAAAAAGCACACCATACTCATTCGTAGCAGAAAACTTATTTCAAATAAAGATAGGAATTTGACAATATATTTTCCTTTGCATAAGTGTTAAACTTATGCAGTGACGGCAGCTGTGTACCAAAATCAGCTAATGTAAGCCACGTCATTGTGATGCCTTTACGGAGATAAGGAGGTCCGGAGCAGGTCAGCAGTCTTTTCCCGTAAAGAGCCAGGCAGTAAATACTTCAGGCTTTGTGTGTCATAGGTCTCTGTTGGCAACTACTCAGCTGCATTGTAGGGCATGTTGTTTGATGAGACAATATCTCAGCAAATAGGCACACTTATGTTCTAATAAATTTTTTATTTTGGAGACTAAAATTCGATGTATAATTTTCACATATCAGGAAATATTTTTATTTTTCCCCCCAACCATTAAAAACGAAAATTATTCTTAGCTCACAGGTCTTCAGATTTGGCCTGTGGGTCAGAGTTTGCTGACATCTAGTCTAGTTTGCTGACCTCTAGTTTAGAAGAATGAAAAAACTCTTAAGAATTCTTTTCTTAGAAAGTTATTCAAAGAAAACAGTAGAAGAAAGGGAGTTTGCTAAAAGCAGGATGCACTTATTTCCAATGGGAATGTTTGCTGGGGAGCGCTGAACTGGGATAACCCATATGCTCGCTGATCTCCAGCAGCTGCCCCAGGTCTATAGCATCCAGGTGTTCCTTTTCCACAGGAGGCCAGTCAGGACATATGGGCGATCCCTGACTCCAATGGCAGTAACTTCGGGAAACTTCTCAGGGCCATGATTTTCATCTCTCAATATACTCGATGTATGCCACTTCCCAACTAGAACTTTAAATGTTTATGGTATATTAATCTGACTTTTTAAATTATAGTTTACCACATGTCAGTTCTAGAAAGTCTTTTTAAAATATTAGAGAGAGAGAGAGAGAGAAAGAGAGAATATGAACATATTATCACTTATAACCCAAGTCATCAAAACTCCTCTGACATATTTGCCTCTTATTGGTCAGTTTCCTATGCATAGGATGTGTGTGAGCAAGGTGGGGTAGTAACACACTCACTGCTGCCTGACCTGCTGCTTGCCTTCAGAGGCTATCGTGCACATTTCCCCGTGTCTTTTGAGCTCATTTGGGTTTCATGTGAATGTATCATCTTGAATGTATCTAGAAGCCACTGTTTATCCTTGGATTGGTGACAATAGAAAATACAGTAAGAAATGCAGTAGCTAAGAAGTTGGAGAAATAGGCATTGGTAAATGTGGGAGATTAGTATAGACCTTTTGGGGGAAAATACTTATTTTTATAGCTCTGTTACTGTGTACATTTGTGAGGTTGTAGTACAAAACCATTTGTCTCAAGTGGTCTGGGTTTACTTTAGGCAAGAAAGGTCCCTTCCACTGTTTGATCAATGAAGCAGATTTGGGAGTGAGCTTCATTTTCTGTTCCAACAGTTTTAATGTTGAAATTTCTCACTGAAGAGCATACTTTCTGTGGTATTATGCCTCATGACATGTATGAAGTTTTTGGAAACACCAATATTACTATTATTTCAGAAACCCTGGATTTGTAGCTTTAGAATGTCTGTGGACTCTGCTGAATGAGAACCCTAGTAAGCTTCAGTGCAGGGAGGGAGATGACTCAGACCTCCTTAGAAATGGCCAGATTTTCATTTGAAGTGTCATAAAGGAAGGGTTTGGGTGCCTTGTAAATAGTGTGTGTGTTTTTCTTATGCTTTCCAACTACAGTCTTTAAACCGGAGGAATTGCGCCAGGCTCTTATGCCAACCCTAGAAGCGCTATATCGACAGGATCCAGAGTCCTTACCTTTTCGCCAGCCTGTGGATCCCCAGCTCCTAGGAATTCCTGTAAGTTCATACAGTAAAAATATATTATAATTTTACTAGTGTAACTCATGATTATCCATGTTCTATATCTTAAAATTGGGTAAAATAAAAACTTTGTTTTGTACATTTTTCTCAAACTATTTTTAAAAGTTTGCTGCCAAAACAGTAATGCACCTTCTTACTAAAATGTGTTTCCAAAGGATTGGTGAATATCCTATATAATAAAAGGCTAATATGCAAATCAACTGAACGGTGGAACAACTGGTTGCTATGATGCACACTGACCACCAGGGAGTAGACATTCAATGCAGGAGCTGACTCCTGGTGGTTAGTACACTCCCACAGGGGGAGCACCACTCAGCCAGAAGCTCTGAGCCCGGCTCACAGCTGGCAGGTGGAGCCTGTCTCACCTCTGCGGAAGTGCTAAGGATGTCTGCTCCCTCGGCTTAAGCTGTCAGTCGGACATCCCCCGAGGGCTCCCGGACTGTAAGAGGGTACTGGCCAGGCTGAGGGAAACCCCCCCAAGTGCATGAATTCCATGCACCGGGCCTCTAGTCAATTATAAAACACACAGGCCTCTCATTTTGATATCCCATGGCAAAGGCCATGGTGACCCAACAGATTCTTTTAAACAGTGTTACTATTTTTGTTTTCAGTTTATCTTTGAATTTCATTTTGCTTGATAGGACCAAGAGTGAATCTCCAGAAAAACTGATAAATTTGCTTACCATTGTAATTCAGTGCATGAAAATTCTTATTTTTGAAATCTTAAATAGCACTTTTTTTTTTAATCCTCACCTGAGGACATGTTTTTATTGGTTCTTAGGGAGAGGGAAACATTGATGTGAGAGAAACATCAGTCAGTTGCCTCCAGTATGCACCCTGACTGGGGATCAAGCCCTTAACCTTCTAGTATATGGGATAATGCTCCAGTCAACTGAGCCACCGGCTAGGGCTAACCAGCATCTTTTTGTAAACAGTTCTTTTAAAATTTTTTTCTTTAACTTTGCCTTTGAAGGAATTTGATCACATTTTAAAATGTTAATTTTAGTAAAATCACAGGAAAATCAGTTCTTCTTAATGCTAGAAACAGAAGTTGTGCTGGTACTTTCCATTTTATTTTAAGATAAGGCTGGCATTTGGAATTTGGGGTGTCCACTAAATTGAGACCATTTTGTCTCCCCCACCCCCCCACATTTCACAAGATTTATTTTTACATTGTTTTAACATTTTGAGCCGGGACCAGTTTGGCTCAGTGGATAGAGCGTGGGCCTGCGGACTGAAAGGTCCCGGGTTCGATTCAGGTCAAGGGCATATACCTTGGATGCGGGCACATCCCCAGTAGGGGGTGTGCATGAGGCAGCTGATCGATGATTCTCTCTCATCGATGTTTCTAACTCTCTGTCCCTCTCAATTCCTCTCTGTGTAAAATCAATAAAATATATTTAAAAAAAAAAACATTTTGAGCTTTTTCCAAATTATCCAAATGATGTTGGATCCAGGAGACTTTTTAAACCATGTTGAAATTGTTCTAAGTGAATTTAAGAGCTAACTATAAACTTTGGCTATCTACTAGAAATAAAAAAAATAATGTGATAATGCCATTACAGAAAGAATTAATTCTTAAATTGATATACTTCATACACATTACAATTGCTAAATTATAAATGAAAACATAAACTTGTTTTCCAACAGAATAATTGTGTACACAAAATGATTTCAACAATGAAATTGCATTATAAAACATTCATAATTTTGAGGCATGTTGACCTTATGGGAAAATTATGGCTTACAATTTGAGTGATTTTGTAAAATCATTGGTGATCTTCATTGGTGTCATTTTGTTTAATTTCTTTATTGATTAAGGTGTTATATATGTGTCCTTATTCCCCCATTACCCCTTCATTCCCCCCACTCATGCCCTCACTTTCCTCTTGTCTGTGTCCATTGGTTAGGTTTATATGCATGCATACAAGTCCTTTGGTTGATCTCTCTCCCATTTTGTCTTTAAGGATTATTTTGACATTGTGAAGAACCCCATGGACCTTTCCACCATCAAGCGAAAGTTAGACACAGGGCAGTACCAAGAACCCTGGCAGTACGTGGATGATGTCTGGCTGATGTTCAACAATGCCTGGCTCTATAACCGCAAGACGTCTCGGGTCTATAAGTTTTGCAGTAAATTGGCAGAGGTCTTTGAACAAGAAATTGACCCTGTTATGCAGTCCCTTGGATATTGTTGTGGACGCAAGGTACAGTTTAAACTGTTTCTGGATAATGAATTTCTCCCAGTTAGTCCAACAGTATGGTAGACTCAACATTTTGGCCACACGTGTGCTGGGAAGCACCCAGATAGAGTAAAACAATTGATTACTTGGAGTGATATAATGGATGGTCAAAGCTAGAGGTGCTTTTGGGGAAAGGCCTTAGGTTAAGCACTTCTGGCTGCCCCTGTGTGCATTCACTATCAATAATATTTGTCTCCTTTTTTTTTTTTTTTTTTTTTTTTTTTTTTTTTTTTTTTTTTTTTTTTTAATTTTAGAGAGGGGAAGAGAGGCATCGATTTGTTGTTCCAGTGAACTCATTGACACACACACACAAATTCATGCACTGGGGGCGAGGGGGCACCTCAGCCTGGCCTGCCCCCTCTCACAGTCCAGGAGCCTCAGGGGCAGGAAGCAAAATGGCAATTAGGGGAAGGCAGTGCCCCATCACACCTGTATTGCTGTCACTGCCGGCAGCACAAGCCTCAGCCAGCCCTGGTTACCTGAGCCTCGGACAGCCCTTGGCAGCTAGGCAGCAGCCATTGGAGGCTTGCCTGCACCTTGAGACAGCCCAGGGGAGCTGGGGAGCTGAGGGGAATAGGGGACTCCAGAGGCACATGGGCGGAGCGGGCCTGCCAGTGCTGCGCCTGCTGCCCCAATGGGGCTGAGGGAACTGGGCACCATATACTTTGAGGGCATGGCAGTCAATTAGCATATTCCCTCCTTATTGGCTGTGGGCGCCACTATCTTTGCAATGGTGTGAGGGTCAATTAGCATACTCCCTCTTTATTAGATAGGATATATATTTTTATTTATATTTATATATATATGAAGAGAGAGGAGAGGAGAGATAGAAATGTCTTATATAATAAAAAGCTAATATGCAGATCAACCAAATAGTGGAACGACTGGTCACGTTGACATACACAGACCACCAGGGAACAAATGTTCAATGCAGAAGCTAACACCTAATGGTCAGTGCACACCCACAGGTGGAGCGCTGCTCAGCCATCAGCCAGGTTCATGGCTGGTAAGTGCAGCAGCGATGGCGGGAGCCTCTCCCTGTGGGGAATGGGCCTACGCCTTCAGTCAGACATCCCCCAAAGGCTCCCAGACAAGAGAGGGCACAGGCCCAGCTGAAGGATCTCTCTCCCCTCTGAGTGCATGAATTTCATGCACTAGGCCTTTAGTCAATGATGAGAATCATTGATTGGCTGCTTACTGTGCACTCCCTACCAGGGATTGAGCCAACAACCGGGACATGTGCCCTTGACTAAAATCGAACTTGGGACTTTCAGTCCGCAGGCCAGTGCTCTATCCACTAAGCCAAACCAGCTAAGGCTATAATGTCTCTTAAACCCTAATTATTTTGCATTGTATCAGAAAATATCTTTAGCCAAAACCGGTTTGGCTCAGTGGTAGAGCGTCGGTCTGCGGACTGAAAGGTCCCAGGTTCGATTCCGGTCAAGGGCATGTATATTGGTTGCGGGCACATCCCCGGTAGGGGGTGTGCAAGAGGCAGCTGGTCAATGTTTCTCTCTCATCAACGTTTCTAGCTCTCTATCTCTCTCCCTTCCTCCTCTCTGTAAAATATGAATAATATATATATTTTTTTAAAATAAATCTTTAAAAGCTGTGAAAATTGTTAGGAAACTATCCAGTGTACTAACAGAAGTAATTTACTAGTTGATTCTGACCCTCCATAATTGAGTAGAACTTTGCATGACAATAAATAGGTTATATTTTTAGTATTTTCTCCTTTGTTTTTGCAGTATGAGTTTTCCCCACAGACTTTGTGCTGCTACGGAAAACAACTGTGTACAATTCCTCGAGATGCAGCCTACTACAGCTATCAGAATAGGTAAGCATTGAACAGCTTCCTGAACTATAGAACGAAGGTCTTAGGGCAAGGCATGTTTGTTTGCTAATAGCCCAGGTACATATCTTTCATAAAGTTCCAATGAAAAGAGCCACAATTGCAGTGTTTCTTGGTCACTTATATAGGTTCACAGTCTTATTTTTAAGGAATGCTTTTACAGTATAAAAATTTTAGCTCACAGCTGCTTACTGCACAATCTGACCTGAATCAGGTACATTCTTTCTTGAGTCATGGTCTAGATTCTAAAAAGTAACCGTATAAGAAAGAGTATGGAGTTGAGAATAACTAATAAAGATTGACCTGCCTTTTTCAAGATACTAAAAAAGTTGAAACATTGTTTTTACTATTCCTATGTAAATATTTGTCTAGTTAATTTGACCTGGACAGTCTGATGGAAAGACTTGCATTAGCGCTAATTGATTGGAAAAAATAAAACCATAGACTTTTTGTTTTTAATTAGTTGCATAATACAGAATAACATTTAGAGTTTTTATTGAGTTCTTTAAAAACAAAAAACTTCCCTATTATAAGATGGCCATTTCAGGTTTTTTTAAGTGGTAGGTATGCTTGAAAAAATATTTGCCATCCTCTTCAAATGTTGATGGCTTACAAAGAATATATCCCCTATCTTAAGTAAAGGGGAAATGAAAATAGTATTTTTTATTGAGGATTGTTTTGAAAATTAAGCTATTTGCATTCATTGTTTTAAGTGGCCTCATGTTGCTATAGCATGAGGGCAGTATGTCTTGAAGCACATGTTGTAAATTTTGGTCAGATTTAGTTACATTGACTCCATTTTATGACTTGGCAATTAGATTCTTTGTGGCCACAAAGAAGCTTCATGCCTAATCTTCATCTTTGGTTTCAAATATTAACTGTCAACATTAAGACTTTTGATGTTTTAATTATTTTTGTTTGCTTAGTAATAGCTTATATTCTGATATTTTGAAGAAGATAAGTAGAGAGGTTTTTGTTATTTGTTTAGGGGTACATGCACAGACTTTGAATAATTTGGAATTTTGAAATTATTTTTCTTCCAATATTTGTTTTGAAATTATTTTATTTAAATATATACATATAACCATATTCAATATTATTAATGACTTTCATCAAGATTCTACTTTAAAAAACTTTTGACCTAAAAATGTCTCCAATAAAGGTTTCTGAGCCTTTCCTAGCTCTTTGGAATTTCTGTCTTAGCTTGCCCTTCTGTCAATAGAAGCATTTTAAGACAAAGTTTGAAATGATACATAGCCCTTTTTTAATGGAATCTCTTCCATACAGACAAGTGTTGTGAAGTTCTAGCCCATCCATTTACAATCTTAGCCTAGCAATCTTCAGCACATCCCATAATGTATATGTATCAAGCTTAACCTTCTTGTTTGTGATATGGGCACAGTAACACCTTCCCTGACGGTCTCAGTTATCAGTCTTTAATGAAATAATTAATAGAAATTCACTTCGGAAACTTAAATGCCAAACAAAATAAATTTATGAAATTTTAAGGCAATAGTTAAAATTAACTATACCCTGAAAAACACCTCTGCTGCTAGATGCCAGTTTGGGTAAAGAAAAAGAAAAGACAACAGATTGCTTGCCACCATATCTGAAGTTTTAGGACCTTTTCATTATTGATTTCATTGTGCCTGAGTCCTTTGAGACCCTATCTTTGCTAATTTTGCACAGATTTTTGGCCATATTTAAGTTGAGAGCAAATAAATTCATACTTTGATAGCATCAGGGTACACTACTTACCCATTGGAGGAGGTAATTGATGTAGTGCAAATAGGATTGTTTTTGAAAGTTTTAAAATGTCCAATTGTATTTCTATATGTGTAAGAATACATTTCTTAGCTTAATCTCATAAGATGTTCTTTCTAAAATACTGACCTTGAAGAAGTTAACATGTAATGCTATTAAAGCAATAGCCTAATTCTGTGTTGGACCTTTTAGCTTCTTGCATTTTTATTCTCAACTTTGACTATGAGCACTATGCTATTTTTATGAATTATTGTTTTGACACAAATTGTTCGGGCACTGAAACCATAGGAAATCCTAGAGATCATTTAAACAAGTGAAACTAATATATAAACTAGAGTGTGGTTACATTTCACCTGTTTCCATACTTTAAAAATTTGAAAGAAACTCATGTTGGGGATACTGTTTTATAGATTTTCCAATTATTAATCTATAGGTAAGATAGATACTATCTATAGATATCCCTGTTATTTGTATACACTGATACGGTACTTAAAACAATCTGCATTTGAAAATTTACTCCATACATTAAATTATCCATACAGATAAACTGTGCAGTTACATTGTGCTAACGTTAGGTGCCCAGATAATACATCATCGTCAGATTATGTGAAATATTTCTCCTTTATAATTCCATGTTCATCAATCTGCTTCCTTCACACAAGGCAGAATGTCAACTAGGCTGTTACAATGAAAAGTAAATTTCTGAATCATTTTATATTTCCAGGATGAATAAAGTTTAGACTAGATAATAAGATATTTTCACCCACTGATTGCCAGGTGGTGGCATCCAATTTGACTATATGGGTGCCCATGCTCCCTTCTGTGGGCTGTGGTGTTTTCTCAGAGGGTATTAGAGTGAGTCCCTGGGTCCTCTCCAACTCTCCTCTAAAACCTCAACAGATTTTATTCTTCAATGTCCCTGGCATTGCTTTGGGCCAGGCACTAGCATGGGTTAATTGTCTGCCTCTCCCAGTTATTGATCCTTGAAGTTTTTTAGGGCTGGGAGTTAGTTACTCGTAGAGTATAGGTTTCTGCAGCCACTTAGCCATCAATGATTTGTCTCAGGCCAGTTTCCTTTGTTGGAAAATAATGGGTTTATGATTCTTGTTTCCTGAATGTTGTTGGACTTGATGTCCTGCTTGAATAAAAGCTTAAGAATTTTTCCATGGTTTAAAATCATTTATGCTCACATGTAATTATAGCAGCAATTTCATTTCAAAATCTGTTCAAAGTTATTCTTCTTGCTAGTCCATAGTGGCTGTGTGTTTAATCTTAAAATGAACTGGAACACTCAATTTCTAGTTTTATTTTCAAAGGGGAAATATTTTGCATGGAGGGGTATCTTTGCCTATTGTTCTGTTTGCCATTGAGTTGGTTTATAGTTTCTGTACTTTCATTCTTTCCTGCCAAGTGATGATCATGTCCTCCTGCACATGAAAATTCTTTCACTACATGATTTCAAGGCTCCATAGGAATATTAACAAAATAGTGAGTAGCCAGAATATTGTTCAAGTTCATTCAGGAAAACAAAACAAAACAAAACAAAACAATATACAGGTATGGGCAAAAGTAGAGGTTAAATTACCAGCCATCGTTAACTAAAAAATAAACCATAGGTGAGGATACGAAATAATAAGACAAATAATACAATAATTAATAAATACATATACAGTAATAAACATTGTGTTTTGTGTACTTACAACTCTAAACCTACTTTTGCCTACCCCTGTATATATTTAAAACAGCAATGTTAATTTGTTTCTGGTCAGAGTTTTAATCTTGGCAGAATTCATTAATTGACTTAGTCCTAAATAAACAGGTCCCAGCAAGGAACTTTCATTAATCCAGTTGTTACCCACAGGGAATCTGTCATGTTCCTCATCAACATACTGAAAAATGGTGTAATCTTGGGGTGTGTGCATGCTCTCAAGTTTTATGCCTTTAATATACTATGTATTTAGCCGGTAAAACATAGCAGACAAAATGTCAATGTATTTAATTTAGGTTAGAATTAGAACTTGTAGAGGACCTATTTTAGTAATGAAGACAAAATGGCCAGGTGGTGTCTGACTATCGTTTGTAGCTGTGCATGGTGCGTGTGTGCTCATGCGTGTGTGCACGTGCGTGTACGCGCGTGCACTTGTGAAACTGCAAGCTGCCGCATCTCCTTCTGTACTCTTGGTTCAGTGTGGCACTCCAAGTCTCGTCATAGTGTCTTTAACACTAATCCTCTTGGCATCTTGTAGACGTAGTTTTGAGCACTAAAACTGCATTTTATTGTGCTGCTGTTGCTACCTTATACTCATCCTTTTTGCTTGTATAAGTCACATTCATTCAGCTTGTTGTTGTTTTTTTTACGGTATTGTGTGCCCATCTTGTTTTATGCAGCATCAGCCTGCATTTTTGTTGATTTCTCATTCATGTCCTTTCCAAACATTTAATAGTTTTTATTTTAATTATTCTTATTTGATAGCTTGAGCTGAGGCTCTGTATTATCTTACAAGAAATTGGGGTTATGGATAATTTCTCAAATGCAGATTGTGCTTTAAAGATTTAACTCTCTAAATTTGCTTAACTTGGATTGTCACCAAGTCAGAGCAGTCAATCACTGAGTATCTCAGATTGATGAATGATTGGTCCCAGTCCCAAAAAGTTTAAGTCAAAGCTTAGAATTGAATTTTAAAACATTGAATTTTTAACATTGTTTGTGGATTTATATATATATTGTATTGTTTATACAATATATCACAATTTTTTTCCTCTGTATATTCTTATTGATAAATGGCTGGAAAGTCTTTGACCCCTATTGCATTTCTGTTAAATGTTTGTCTAGAAAATGGATTTGGTTTCATTTGTATTATAACACAATTAAGTGATTAACATGAGAAAAAAAGGAAAAAAATTAAAACCAGTTTTGAGTGCTGAACATTTTTAAACCTTTAAAGATCTGGCTTAAAAACCAGAAATAAAAATCTCTGAATTGCTGTCAAGCATAAATTTTCCATTTTGAAAAAAAAAAAAAGCATTTTCAGTTTAAATTGCTTTTTTTAAGGCCTTTTGCCTGACTGTTTTGTTCAAAGTCAATTTTTTCCAAACCCTGAAATTGTATTTTTCTTTAATACAAAATTCAAACTTCTAAATTTTAAGCTCCTTACAATTCTGGTATTAACAACTCCTTGCAAACATTTGCATCTTGGAGCTGAACCAAGCCCTGTCGTTGTTAGTGATGATGGCCTGTGATGTGTGCAATGAGACCGAATGCTAATCAATGCTTTGCCTTGGCTTTCTGCTCTGTGTTGTCTTGGTGTTTGCGTCTTACCTCTATGTCTGTGCTATTTGTTCCCTTCCCTGTTCTCTAATCCTGCCCTTCCCAACCTGCCCCTGTTCCTCTCATTGTTCTCACTGACCCATCAATCAACCAACAACGTCCCCCCTTCGTCGTGGTGATCTGCCCTGCTCTGATTGGTGGCTTCGTTGCTTGGGTGGCTGTGTGTTTTGATGGACCAGTTCACCCAAGTATGGCCTTCTTGCTGACAGGTATCATTTTTGTGAGAAGTGTTTCACAGAGATCCAGGGGGAGAATGTTACCCTTGGTGACGACCCTTCACAACCCCAGACGTAAGTACTATGTCATTTTTCTCGGGAGTGATTCTTAATTGTTTTTGTCTCTTGTCCATGAGTAAAAGGAAAGCACTACTGCTGTTTTGACTTGTGTGTAGTATATTTTCTCACATTGATTATGCTCACATTCATACTTTAACATGTAGATGTTTGAGCTAAACACCAGTGATACTTCCATGTTCTTCCCTCCATTCAGTACAGTGGTGTTCAGAGCCTCACTGTGCAGTTCACAGGTCTCTCTCAATCTTGCTCCAATTCTTCTTTTAAAACATTTGGCTTTTCCTAGTGGCTGCCACCCTGCATTTTTGGAAGTTATAAATTTTCAGTTCACCTAAGAAACCAGATAACCCTATCCATAGACTGGCAGTAGCAAAAATGAGTTTCATGTACCTACTTTCATCCTTTAAGTTGTGAAGCTAATGGAATACAGATAATGAGATCCCAGAGTGTAAATGTCTCCTCTTTGCTGGAAACTTGACTCTTGCTCACTAGGTCTAATTTAGACAGGCCTGAGTTGGCCCTTTCATTCCTTCACTGAGTCCACCTTTTGATCCCAATGCCTGTCCTCTGTGGTCAGCTCATTTATATGCTTGAGAAATCTAAAAACCTGCCAGCCACCATGTCTGCCCAGAACTACCAGTGTTCTATGGTTCTCTCTTTTCTCTGGACTCTGCCTGATTCCAACCACACTGGCTACTTTGCTAGTGTGATGTCTCCCCCACAGGCACAGAGCTTCACACTAACACACTTTCCAGCAGGGTGGGACACTAAGTCTGCAACTCAAGGCTACTTTATTCTAATGCAAAATAAACCGTGGCCACTTACAAATCAAAATGACAGATATCCTACCCATTCGATTTATTTTTCTATCTTTTGTCATCTTAATCTTTTGGTCCTATTACATGATTAATAATTGGATTGTATAATTATGTGAATCTGAAGTCATTCACATTTATACACTGATCATAATAAAAGGACAATAGAAACCAATACTCAGCCCTTTAAGAGTAAAATATCACCGCATAGATGCTGACCTTCTGTCATTGAGGTAATATTATAATTAAAAGAATTGTTCCTGCCCAGGTGGCTGTTTATTGGAGCATTGTCTTGTTTACCAAAAAGGTTATAGGTTTGATTCCCGGTCAGGGCACGTAGGGGAGGCAACAGATCGATGTTTCTCTCTTCTCTCATATCAATGTTTCTCTTTCTCTCTCCTCCTCCTCTTTCTCTAAAAATCAGTTAAAAAAAGAATTAGTTGCACTAATATCAGTTAAATTTAGTAGCTAGTCACCATATAGATTTGATTGAAAATTAACAAGTTTGAAATATAATTTTGCCAACCTGTTATTAGTCTTAGTTAAATCTTGTAATAAGTTAGGAGGAAATATTCCAAGAAAGATAGAGAAAATTAAATGGTGGTGCTTTCTGTAGAATTGAGTTTTATATGTTCATGCCATCATTGCATCTACTTGAGATTTTAGCTATTATTTTCTGTTTGAAGAACTAGTTGCAACATATTCCAGAAACTATAGTTTATATTCAACAGATCAATTATTAAGTTAATTAACTTTTTTTAAATTTCTTTTTAAACAAGGACAATTTCAAAGGATCAATTTGAAAAGAAGAAAAATGATACCTTAGATCCTGAACCGTGAGTATATAGCTATTTCTTTCTTTTAGATTTTAGTTTCAGATCAAGAACAGTTCCTCCTTATGATTGAGTGTGGAAGAAGACATTGTAAATGCATTGCTTTGGGTGGAATTTTATTGTGTGAAGTTATTTCATATATGAATCATTCTTTAACTCACACTAAATATGTATGTCTCTGTAACATGTTCTTCAGATACTGAGTTTTAATAAGACTTAGGTGGGTCTTTCTTCTAATAGATTCTCTCTAATAAGTTGGTCATTGGTGTTTTTAAGAAGCCATTTAGTGTGAATCTTTAGAAAACAAATGTAGGAATATTTGGTAGAGTAGTGCTAGTATCATTTAAAGGGAAATTTTAGAAAGAAAACCTCTTAGAAACCACTTTCTAAAAATAACAAATGGGAAGCCTGGCATATGTTCTTGCCACTGTCTTTGGTATGGTATATTTTCAAAGGCTATTGTCAAATATTTGACTTTCCTCCATCTTGCTCAGTGAGAATGCTGTATTTGCAAAGTGTGCTCTGTGATGGCCCTAAAAAGGCTTCAGAACTCCCTTCAGGTCCCCAAAGCCAAGTCCTGAGACCACCCCAGTGTGTGGAGAGGCCCATTGTGTTCTAACGCTGTGCTGAATGCACTTTCAGAACTGCTTAGAATGCAGGCTCCAGCACCATTTGATGTTTGGTAAACATGACTATAGTGCATCCAGAACTGAGAAACAGGTCCTCCCCTCTCTTGGCTTCAAACCCCTAGCTTTAGTGAGCCCTATTGATACAGTGGAAGAGACAGACTTTCCACCCAGACCTCATATTGAAACCTAACTTTATGATGTGTCTTGGTGTGGTCCTCTTTGGATTCCTTTTGTTTGGAGTTCTGTGTGCTTCCTGGACTTGTAAGTCTAATTCTTTCACCAGGTGGGGGAAGTTTTCTGTCACTATTTCTTTCAGTATATTTTCGATATATTGCTCTCTCTCATCTTCTGGGACCCCCATAATTCTGATGTTGGTTCGCTTGAAGTTGTCCCAGAGGTTTCTTACATTATCTTCAATTTTCTGGATTCTCTTGCTTTCCAGCTTCTGTGGAGGAGTGTCTTCTGGCTCTTTATGTTCCAAATCTTTGACTTGATTCTTGCGATCTTCCCTTCTGTTTTTAGGACTCTGTAAAATATTTTTTATTTCAGACAATGTATTCTTTATTTCTTGTTGATCCCTTATCATTTCTTGATGTCTCCTTATTAATTCTAGTTGATCTCTTTTCATATCCTCATAGGTCTTATCCATCTTTTCTAGGAAATTCTTGAAAAACCTTATAAGCGTAGATTTGAACTCTATATCCAGACACTTTTTGTCCTCCATTTCTTTCGTTTGTGATCTATTTTGTTGTCGCATTTCGCAGTTACAGCTGGGACGGGGTTTCAGGGTGGAGCCTGCAGCTTTTCTGAAACCTAACTTTACATTGAGAGCTTACATAATCTCTCCTACTAGTAGTGCCCAGACTGGGTACACATTGAGAACAAGAACTCCAGCCTGAGCATAGAGCCTGGTGCGTGAGGAGGTGCCTCCCCGGATCATTAATGACCAGTGAATTATTTGTCTTAATTGTCCAGCTCCCTGTTCACATTATATCCTCCCCTTCAGTTTTTCAGATTCACTATGATTTATATTCATTTCTAACTTCAAAATACATTACATTTAAGTACTCATTACTAGGCAGGAGCTTGTCCATCAGTACAAGAGACAGATGGATCATTGCACAGATAGCAGGAGGTAGTAAGGTGGCCCAAAGGTGAGGGGCCCTGTTTCTGGTCATGATGGCATTCCAGAGAAGGTGACACTCATCTGGAGTCAGGTGTTGAGAAATGGGAAGAATATTCTATACACAAAGGAGTAAAAGAACATAGGATGTTCAGCAACAACATCAGTAAGCTCAAGTGGTTGGCAGGTAGAGCATGTGGATGGAGCTCCAAGTGATGTGGAGGAGAGGCAACTAGTGCAGAGCCCCTTACATAGTTCTTGGACCTGAAGGTTTTCTCCTGAGTGTGCTAAGGTGGTTTGGGGGGACATTATTGGCTTCTGTTATGGAAAGATTATACTGGATTTGTGAGATAGATTCAGTGGAGAGGAAGACTTTGCTCCCTAGTAGGGAGACTAGTTAGGAGACTTAGAGGAGCAGCTTAGGAAGGAGGTGGAAGGGGGAAGGGCGACCTGAACAGCCTTCTGGTGGAAGAGACCACACTGCAGGTTGAGGAAAGGTTCAGTCTAACTGGTGGCTTGGGTAACTGCATGAATAAAAATGTAGGAAGGGGAGTCATCCAGTTGGTTAATGATAGAAGGGGAGAGAGATTGAAATTCAAAATGGATAAAATGGGGTCTAGAACAAATACCGTATTTTTTTACATTCCTCTTCCCTTACATAGGAGGAAAGGGTTGAGAATGGGGTGTCCTTGGAGCAGGCACAGAAGCTCAGAGAGTTATTACTTGCTGACCTTTTAAATTCTTAACTAGGGATGAGCTCAACTGCTGAAATTTCAGCAAAGGAACTTGTTTTAGTTTTAGTTTTGTTTTTTTTTTAATAAATCTTTATTGTTCAGATTATTACCAATGTTCCTCATCCCCCCCCTCCATTGCTCCCCTCCACCAGTTCCCACCCCACCCTCTGCCCTTTCCCCAACCCCCATTGTCCTCATCCATAGGTGCACAGTTTATGTTCAGTCTCTTCCCGCACCCCCACTCCCCTTTTCCCCGAGAATTGTCAGTTCACTCCCATTCCATATCTTTGATTCTATTATATTTACCAGTTAATATTGTTCATCAGGTTTTTTAATTCCCTTGGTTTTTAGATTCACTAGTTGATAGTTATGTATTTGTTGTTCGTAATTTTTATCTTTGTTTACTTTCTCTTTTGAAAGAACCCCCTTCAGCAATTCATATAATTCTGGTTTGGCGGTGATGAATTCCTTTAGCTTTTTTTTATTAGTGAAGCTCTTTATCTGGCCTCGATTCTGAGTGATAGTTTTGCTGGGTAGATTATTTTTAGCTGTAGGTTCTTGCTATTCATCACCTTGAATATTTCTTGTCATTCCCGTCTGACCTGCATGGTTTCTGTTGAGAAATCAGCTGACAATTGTATGGGTAACTACCTGCTTTGCTCTTGCTGCTTTTAATATTCTCTTTTTGTCTTTTGCTCTTGGATATTTTTTTTTTAATATATTTTATTGATTTTTGTACAGAGAGGAAGGGAGAGAGATAGAAAGCCAGAAACATCGATGAGAGAGAGTCATTGATCAGCTGCCTCTTGCACACCCCCTACCGGGGATATGCCCGCAACCAAGGTACATGCCCTTGACCGGAATCGAACCCGGGTCCCCTCAGTCCCCAAGCTGACGCTCTATCCATTGAGCCAAACCGGTCTCAGCTGCTCTTGGATTTTTAATTATGATTTGTCTCGGTGTGGTCTTCTTTGGATTCCTTTTGTTTGGGGTTCTGTGCGCTTCCTGGACTTATAAAGTCTAATTCTTTCACTAGGTGGGGGAAGTTTTCTGTCACTATTTCTTTCAGTATGTTTTCGGTATCTTGCTCTCTCTCATCTTCTGGGATCCCCATAATTCTGATGTTGGTTCGCTTGAAGTTGTCCCAGAGGTTTCTTACATTATCTTCAACTTTCTGGATTCTCTTGCCTTCTTGCTTTAAAAGAGGAGTATCTTCTGGCTCTTTATGTTCCAAATCTTTGACTTGATTAATGCGATCTTCCATTCTGTTTTTAGGACTCTGTATAATATTTTTTATTTCAGACAATGTATTCTTTATTTCTTGTTGATCCCTTATTATTTCTAGTTGACCCCTTTTCATATCCTCATAGGTCTTATAGACCTTTTCTAGGAAATTCTTGAAAAACCTTATAAGTGTGGTTTTGAACTCTATATCCAGTCTCTTCTTTTCCTCCATTTCTTTTGTTTGTGAATTGTTTCCTTGTCTTGGCATTTTCACAGCTTCCTGAGTTGGTAGGGTGACTTTGTGTGCTAAGGTGTCCTATATGGTTCAGTGATGAATCAGCCTCCCAGTTAGCTGAGGTGGACAGTCTTGGTGTAGCCCTTTGTGGGCTGTGTGTGCAGTCTTGTTGTTAAGCCTTGCTTGTTGTTGGTATCACTGGGAAGCGTTGATCTCCAAGCCAGTTGGCTATGAGGATCAGAAATGTCTTAGCTAGGAGGGTTTCTGTATTCTGCTTGAATGGGGCGGAGTCTCGGAGTGACACAGACAAGCTTTTTTGAATCCCGCACAATTGGTTGCAGGCTCACGCACCTCTTTGGTATAGGCGCAGACAAGCTTTAGATTCCTGTCTGTCACTCCCTAGGAGAGTCCCATTCGCTATAAATGAGAAAGCTAGCCACTGGAAGGGCTTCTGTGCTCCATTTGGATGGGGCAGAGTCTGGGGTGGTGCAGACAAGCTTTATTCAGCTCCTCCCTACGAGGGTCTGGTTTCTGAGTCTCGCATTAATGGCCGCTGGCTTCACACACCTCCGAGAGATCCCTGCCCACTGCCCGACAGTCTGGCCTCTCCCTGTCTGGGGCCGTCTATCAGCGCAATAGGGTGGTTCTGTTTTCCTCCCAAACAAGAAAGCCCTCTCTGCACACGCAGGGAGTAAGCCAGCAGCGAAGTCGGGCAGCTGCCTTTTTGCACGCACAGTTCTCCGCACCTTCACAGTTCCTGAGGTTCAGCGTGCCTTCTCTCTCCTTCCCAGATGGTAGAGCCTCCTCTCAGCCAGCTGTCGGGCGCTTCAGGGTGATGTTTCCCCTGTTTTTCAGTTCTAAATTCAAATTTGTTGTGGTAGGCTGCATTCAGGTGTCTATCCTATGCCACCATCTTAGTTTCTCCTCAGCAAAGGAACTTGTTAACAGTGATGGGGCACTTGAGGGAGTGAAGGTTCAGAACACCACCAAATAGAATGGGGGAGCAGCACAGCATGGGAGGGCCATGTAATGGTGCTGCGGTTTTGCATGTCTTTTTCCTCCAGTAGAACAGGAACAGAGAAGCTGGGTAAGGCTTGATTTGAGGTTTAAGCCTTGCTCAGCAAGGACAATGGAAGATCAGGGACTTGATCATGTATCAGATAATAGGGCTCAGCATCCAGACTGATTAGAAGAGCCTGAACCCACTTTCTTGCCACTTAAGACTTCCACCAACTGTAAGTTGTGAGGGTGCTAAGTGAGTGGCTAAAATACAGCTTTTTACCTTCAAGTATGTTGGCAATTAAGATTTTCAGGTGAGCTTGGGTGGGGTCTGCAGTAGAGGGCAAGTGGCTTAGTGCGTCCCCTTGCTTCCATTGTTTACTTGAGTAAAACTGTCATTTACTAGTCAGTTTGGAACTTCCCACCTTGGTTACTAACTCAGAACAGACACTTCCTTTGCCTAGGCATAAGAATAAATGTTTTGCCAAAACCGGTTTGGCTCAGTGGATAGAGTGTCGGTCTGCGGACTGAAAGGTCCAAGGTTCGATTCCAGTAAAGGGCATGTACCTTGGTTGTGGGCACATCCCCGGTAGGGGGTGTGCAGGAGGCAGCTGATTGATGGCTCTCTCTCATCGATGTTTCTAGCTCTCGATCTCTCTCCTTTCCTCTCTGTAAAAAAATCAATTAAAAAATATGTGTGTGTGTGTGTGTGTGTGTGTGTGTGTGTAACAGATGCTCTTAAGTATGCATGTCTGTTTTAAAAAAAAAAAAAAGAATAAATGTTTATAATATTGAAAGTATTGTTCTCTATTATTTAAATCAATTTAGTGTGCACTTACCTGGAGCAAGTGTTTGTCTTCAACATGTATAGTACTGTCAGAAATACTGGCCCATAAAATGTGCCTTTATCATAGCACTTTTTAAAAGTAAAGGATCATTCCTAATTGCAAAGGAGATTGGGAGAAGAGAGGAATGAGGCATTTGTAAAAGAAGGGTTCGAACTTTTCCCACAGAAAATATACTGATGCATTTTTAAAATCTGACTGAATCAATCAACAAGTGTATTAATACCAGATGCTCAAAGTAATCAAGAGGACAAGAGAACATAGTACACAAGCTCCTACAGACCACTCTGCTTTGTGGTTTCCTGTGCATTCACTGTGCTTTCTTTGTCTTCTAGTTTTGTTGATTGCAAGGAGTGTGGCCGGAAAATGCATCAGATTTGTGTTTTACACTATGATATCATTTGGCCGTCAGGGTGAGTAATTTCCTGTGATCTTGGGGAAAGGAAAGCAGTTTTGCACAGAGTGGAGGGGAGGGTGGCTACTGCCGCTGCTGCATTTCATTCATTGTTGTCAGCAAGAATTCAGCAATTACAATAGATGGCAGTTGGTCCTAAGTTTTAAGTCGTGTTTGCCTGCTTTAGGAATTATAGAATCAAAGCAGTCTGCCTCTTCATTTTTGTATAATGATGCAATTTAAACAGCCAACAAAGTATTCTAATGCTGCATTTCATTAGTTTGGCAACATATACTGTTTTGTATAATCTAATCACACCCGTTATGTTTTTGCAGCTTTGTATGTGACAACTGCTTGAAGAAAACTGGCAGAACTCGAAAAGAAAACAAATTCAGTGCTAAGAGTAAGTTATGGAAGGATTTCTTTTCCCTGGTCTGTACATTGTATAAAATTGTATAATTACCCAATTTTCCTTTGGTTCCTCTCAACATGTGACTTTGTAGATGACCTGTCCAACATTTTTTTATCTGTGAGTTTGTTTTCTAATACTTTGTATTTTTCTTGTCTTGCCCTTAAAGAACCATTTGACCTGATCATGATATCAAAGTCAGCTTTTTGCTCAATCCATGTTTTAGATGCAAGTGTAGAAAGCTTAGATACATTGTAAACTTGTGAATTCTAAAGAGAAAATTTGTCAGCAGATCCTTCTTAAATAGCTTAAAAATAAGACCTCCCCCGAAACACACACACAAACACACACAGTTCTGTCTGAGCCACACAGTCGGGGCCAAGTGTGGGCAGCCACTTGCTGTTGTGGACCCCGCTGTTGTGAGGAATGACCTGGGAATTGGCCGCCATTGATCCAAGACTGGTAGGAGCCTGGTCTGCGCAAAGACTTGGGAATATTGCTGCATTTAGAGTGGCTGTTGCTACTAAAAGTAACTTTTCATATCTTTTTAGATAGATAGATAGATAGATAGATAGATAGATAGATAGATATGTGTACAATATGTAACCTTTGTCCACTTGGTTCTCAAGTACTGGGGGCACCTTCCACAGCATGGCATTCCCAAGCTGTCCTTTTGCTGAGTTTATAGGGAACCTGAGTAGGAAAGCCACCTACAGTGGAACCTTAAAGTGCACCTTCCCAGTACTCCCTGCAGCAGGATAGGTGACTAGCACAGAGCTCAGGGTGTCTCTAACAAGAGCCAGGTCATCTGAGGTGCTAGGAGTAGAAGAGAGCTGCTGGGGGAAGTAGGGGACATGAAGCAGGCAAAAAGGAAGTCATTCCATAGGCTTCCAAGTCATTGTCAATTCAAGTTCAAACTCTGTAGTTAATAAAATCCATAGTTATCCTTATAACTTAAACTCAGTTTTATAAAATGTTTTGAGATACTTAGAAACTCACTGGCTACTGTAATTTTTATTGTTGAAAGTATTACATGTGTCCCCTTTTTTCTCCCATTGACCTCTTTATTGGCTACTGTAGTATTTGTCTTTAGGGTTTCTCCACTGAGCCAATATTGACATTCAGGACCAGATAATTGTTATGATGGCTGTCCTGTGCTTTGTAGGATTTTAGCAGCATCCCTGGCTGCAGCCCACTAAATATCAATAACCTCCATCTTTATGAATGGTGAACATCAGAAATGTCTCCAGACCTTGCCAGATGTGCCTTGGGGAAAAGTAGTTGTCTCTACCTTAGGGGGTCCATTCTGAGTGAGATCACATTCTGAGCAATCAGCAACTTAAAAACACTTGCTTAGGCCAGAGCTTCAGTGACCAGACTAAACTGCCAAGAGAGCTAAACCTCACTAGAAGAGCAATTTCAGCTGGAACGCACAAGGGTGAGGTATAGGGGGGTCACAGAAGAGCCAAGAGCTGGCCCGGCTCTCATCTTACCTCGTGTCCAGAGAATGGTAGAGAAGACACATGGACCTTTGGTAGATGAGCTTGAGTGTTTAAGATATAGAATATTTGCTTACAAAAAAGGATCTTAGAAGTCTAGTGTCACCCCTTGGGTTCCAAGTTTTTGTAGATCACAAAGGAAAGTTTACCTCATTCATATTTGCACTGAGCATTAGAAATGTCTTTCAACTGATAGTCAGTGAATGATAGTCACAACTGACCATCCATCCAGAGCCACTTCCCTACCTTACACCACACACACATTCAATTTCAGATGGTTAAAGGAGAAGGAAACAACTGAAAGTGAACTCAGGGTCACGGTAAGAGTATTTTTCCTGTGCTGGATTATAAAATAAACCTTCCTAAAAAAATAAACCCAGAGTGAGAAAGCAATAAGCTGAATGATTTGATCACATAAAGAGAAAAGTGCTCCCTCACCCCCCAATCTGGGAGAAAGGCCTACTGCATAAACACAGAGACCTGAAATACACTTCATGAGTGCATCACATGGATGAGAATCACCCTGCTTTCACTCTGGTGATTGGATGAAAAAAGTAAAGACCTACTTTTAAAGGTCCTTTGGTTTGCTATTTGAAAATCATACCCCAACCAGGCATCAAACCCACAAACTTCCGGTATATGGGATGACACCCTTAACCAACTGAGCCAGTTGACCAGGGCAGAATGTTAATTCTTTTAAAATATGTCAAATTGCCCTAGCCAGTTTGGCTCAGTGGATAGAGCGTCGGCCTGTGGACCCAAGGGTCCTGGGTTCAATTCCGGCCAAGGGCATGTACCTTGGTTTCAGGCTCCTCTCCGGGCCCTGGTTGGGGTGTGTGCAGGAGGCAACTAATCGTGTCTCTCTCTTTCACATCAGTGCTTCTCTTTAAAAAAAAAAAAAAAAAAAAAAATCAATGGGAAAATATCTTTGGGTGTGAAGATTAACCAAACACACACACACACACCAAAATATGTCAGATTACCCTGAAAGGAAAAGGAGGAATCTGCTCTCAGTTGCCTTCTCCATAGTTCTTCCAAAACTCTCTCACCTGCTCCTTCTAAACTTTTCAGGATTGCAGACCACACGATTGGGAAACCACTTGGAAGACCGAGTCAACAAGTTTTTGCGGCGACAGAATCATCCTGAAGCTGGGGAGGTCTTTGTTCGAGTGGTGGCCAGCTCAGATAAGACTGTGGAGGTCAAGCCTGGGATGAAGTCACGGTTTGTGTGCAAACTTTGTGCTATTTCTAAAACAGCATTGTCCCAGTGCTTACTCCACCTGGTTAACAAAAGCCCCACTTTCCGACAAGGCTTTTTGCAAAATTTAAGATTTTCAGTGGTTAGTGTGTTACAAGCCCTTCTTTCTATCCAAAATTCATTAGAAAAGGTAAAATTCCCAATCAAGTGAAACTGTCACAAAGAATGGGATCAAATATCCAAGCTGCTCACACTAGTGGTAAGAACTCTGGGCTGGTAGTCAGAAGTGACAGGCCTTTCTTTATCTCCTCTACCCTGAGCAAGATATAGGTTATAAAACACCTTATGAACAATGACACATGCAAACATCAGATTCTGACTTTTGTTTCAGGTTTGTGGATTCTGGGGAAATGTCTGAATCTTTCCCGTATCGAACCAAAGCTCTCTTTGCTTTTGAGGAAATTGATGGAGTGGATGTATGCTTCTTTGGAATGCATGTCCAAGAATATGGCTCTGATTGCCCCCCTCCTAACACAAGGTAGTCCTTTATCTCCTTTCAAGGGGGGTCATGCTGTCTTATAATGCACTAAGGTTCTATGTGTCTTAGAGAACCTGTGTGCTTTAGAGCTGGGTTTAAAATAATGCACTATTGCCGGGACCAGTTTGGCTCAGTGGATAGAGCGTCGGCCTGCGGACTGAAAGGTCCCGGGTTCGATTCCGGGCAAGGGCATGTACCATGGTTGCGGGCACATCCCCAGTAGGGGGTGTGCAGGAGGCAGCTGATCGATAACTCTCTCTCATCGATGTTTCTAACTCTCTATCCCTCTTTCTTTCTCTCTGTAAAAATCAATAAGAATATATTTTTAAAAATAAATAAATAAAATAAAATAAAATAATGCACTATTGCCAAAACCGATTTGGTTCAATGGATAGAGTGTCGGCTTGGGGACTGAAGGGCCCTGGGTTCGATTCCGGTCAAGGGCATGTACCTTGGTTCCGGGCATATCCCCTGTGGGGAGGGGGGTGTGCAAGAGGCAGCTGATTGATATTTCTCTCTCATCGATGTTTCTAGCTCTCTATCCCTTTCCCTTCCTCTCTGTAAAAAAATCAATAAAATATATTTTCAATTTTTTTAATCCATTATTGATTAACCAAATCAGTTTATGTTTCCTCTAAGTCAGTGGTGTGTTGGGGTTTATATGACTATTTGAAGCCCGTTTTGTATTTTGAGTACTCATGGATTCTGGTTCTGGTCTTGCTGTTGTCCCTGTCTTACCTGGGGCAGGTAGAGCCACAGAGAATGGGGTGGGAACCATTCTATGAGCCTGGACGTTCTCTGATGCACCCAAGAAAACAATGAGTATAATACCTCTATAAAGAGTTCTTTCATGTTCTTTCTAGAATCTGGGTGAGAGGGAATTTAAAAAATGTCTTTTCTTCTTGCCCTGATTTATTCATGGTTCTCTGTGGTGAATGATGAGATGCCATTGCTTTTCACTTTGGTGATGAAATTGGATTCCATTTTATTGATTGGCAGCGGCAGTTGGCAATGGGAGTTTTCTTATGTTTTTATATCCTTTTTGTGGTCCGTGTAAATGCTATTGAACAAAATTTATTTTGGGATATCCTGAACTGTTGATTAATTTTTCTTTCCCACCCCCAGACGTGTGTACATATCTTATCTGGACAGTATTCATTTCTTCCGGCCCCGATGCCTGCGGACAGCTGTTTACCATGAGATCCTTATTGGATATTTAGAATATGTGAAGAAATTGGGGTAAGTTTCATTAAGATTATCCAGAACTAATTAAAGCTCCATTTTTAATTTTCATTGTATATTTAGTTTGTGAAATAACGAGAATGTTTCTTTAAGTTTGATGTGTTTTTATTTTAGTGTCCTTAACTGGATTCTGAAGCCTCCAAGAGCTTCTCTCATGTTCTTGGGGCTTCTCAGCACAATGCATGCACTTTTTCTGCCTTCTGCATTCTTTTCATTATTGTTCCATTCTGGTGTCTTTTAAAAAAATTTATGAAGCATATGTTATATATTATAAAATTTGCCTATATCAGGTGTACACTTCACTGACTTTTAGTAACTTTATGGAGTGGTGTAGCCATCACCCTTAATCAATCTCAGAACATTGTCATCCCCCAAAAAGATCCCTCTGCCCATTTGCTCTTAATCCTTGTCCCACCCCTACCCCCAATGACCACTGATCTACTTTCTGTCCCCATAAATTTGCTTTTTCTCAATGTTTTGTAGGAATGGAAACCTACAAGTGTGGTCTCTTGCCTCTGAATTCTTTATATCTGTTGTCATGTTCTGGATCTTTCATATTCCTTTCCCAATTTGAAAAAGTTAGAGATATTTGATTGAAGTGTCTTAAACAGAATGAATAAGATTTATTTTAACTTTAACCCTTAGAAATATCCAGCTGCCTTTCCTATGTGCAGAAGAAAGTGTGTGAAATTCAGTGTGTCCCTGGGTAAAGCCATTTAAAAACCTAATGAGTCTCTGTCTTCCCGGGCTTTCTGCTGTGCTCACGGGTTCCCTTACAGCCTCGCTCCCTGCCCGACTTGCACAGCCTGAGAAGGAAGTATCTTTGTGCTGACTTCCAGGTGTGCATTTGCACACTAGAGATTTTTGGCCTTACCCACGCATCCCCAACTCCCAGCACACTGGTTTGGAATCTCTAAATGTCTTATCCATTCTGCCGTAGCATTGTGGTCATTTCTTTGCTTTCCTTTTTCTTTATATATATTTATTTCTGTCCTTGCTTTGGTCCTTGTTTCTTAACTGTTAATCCTTGAAAGCAGGGACAGATTTGCTCAACATTTTCATCTGAATTATGAGTGTGTGTCCTGCAGGTATGTGACAGGACACATCTGGGCCTGTCCTCCAAGTGAAGGAGATGACTACATCTTCCATTGCCACCCCCCTGATCAAAAAATCCCCAAACCGAAGCGCCTGCAGGAATGGTACAAGAAGATGCTGGACAAGGCTTTTGCAGAGCGGATCATCCATGACTACAAGGTACTTGTGCTTGCTGAAGGAGGCATGCAGTGGCTTTGTCACCGCTAATTTACATACTTTCAGGTGTCTTTTTCTCACACTCACTGGTCCAATGCATGAAATTCATGCACATTAAAAGGGAATTGGAGAAAATATTTTTAAATTGTTATTTCCCCTATAATAGAAGTGTCAGAAATGAAAGAAAATTAGTAAAATGTATATGAAAATCTTCTTCCTGTCAGAGTCTGGGGCGGGCCTCAGGACCCAGCATCAAGTCCCTGCCCACCCACACATGCCTTGAAATCACGTGAGACCCAGACTTGGCAGGCCCAACCCCATCAAGCCCTGCCGGGTGGGGGGGCCCAGCCTCAGATCCCCTGGCCCAGTGCTAAGCAGAGAGTGCAGCCTCAGATCCTCTGGTGCACGTAGGGCAGGAGGCGCAGCCTCAGGGCCCCCCCTCCCCCTGGTGCCAGGTCAGGGAGCACGGCCTCAGGTCCCCGGCCTGGCACCAAGGCAGGAGGCTTGCCTTGAGGTCCCCCATCAAGCCCCACCAGGCGAGGGGGCAGCCTGAGGTCCCCCGGCCCAGTGCCAGGGCAGAAGGCGCGCCTTGAGGTCTCCCATCAAGCCCTGCCGGGCGGGGGGCACAGCCTCAGCTTCCCCGGCCCGGCTCCACTCAACCTTAGGCCTTAGGTCCCTGCTAATCGCCCGCCTCTGCTGTGAGTGCAGCCATCTTGTGACTGTGTGACAATTGATTTACATATTATCTCTTTATTATATAAGATTGTATTCAGTATGTACACAGATAATTTAATGAAAAAATGTTAAAAAAAAAATGTAAAAAAAAAAAAAAAAAAAAGATCAGAAAGCCAAAGGGAAAAAAGTGAAAAATGAAAAAATGTAAAAGCATCTTCTCTGCAGTCTATCAAGATTTCTCGTTGGCAGTCTGAAAGCAGTGCTGTCATGTCATCTGTTTAATTGGTTGATCTTGGCCATTGTGCACCATGGGAATATGCTGCACCAGGATCCTCTTCTGTGTCGTGGCCCTATTCCATCTCTTCCTCAGGAGCTTTGCTTGGCCCCTATCTAACTGCTGTGCTTTATTTACTCTCCAGGACATTTTCAAACAAGCAACTGAAGACAGGCTCACCAGTGCCAAGGAATTGCCCTATTTTGAGGGTGACTTCTGGCCCAATGTGTTGGAGGAGAGCATTAAGGAACTGGAACAAGAAGAAGAAGAGAGGAAGAAGGAAGAGAGCACTGCAGCCAGTGAGACTACAGAGGTAAAGCCCCTAAGACCCACAATCCCTCCCTCCTGGAAAGCTGGTGCCCCAGATGTGTGTGCTGAAGGACGAATTCTGGCAGGTTGGAGAGTGAATTTATGCTGTCGAGTTCACAGGGTGTGGCCTTTTTGTGTGGTAGTATTTTCATACATAACCTCACCTTGTCACTATGCACAATAGGTCCGGGACTTAAAAACACAAACCCCACTGGTTGCTGGGCAAGCTGAGATGTGGGCACATCACCTCCTAGAAGGGGACAGGAGGTGCTTACTTCAGCATCTCTGGGCATAACAGAGGACCAAGACACAGAAAGATGAGAGAGGTGGGCGCCCTGCTAGGGAGCCCAGAACAGGTGAAGACAGAAACAGATGTGTCATGAATGTGTCACAGCCAGGGAGCAATCAGTTGATTTAAAGGAGTATTTTACAAACTATACACACACACCTGAAGCTCTTTCTGTGGTGTCAGCACTCGTGTACTCACGTGTGCAGGCATCAGCCTAAGCAGTGCACTGAGAACTAAGGAAAACACCACCCCTGCCCTCTTGTTTTTCTGGTAGGAAAAAACAGAAAAACACATGCCCAGCACATTCGGAGATAGTGGTGCAAGCTGTGGAGAAAAGGAAGCACAGGGAATTAGAAGGGAATGGGGGGAGGGGCTTTTTTGGGCAGAGGCATCTGAGCAGAAGCTGACCTGGTGAGAAGGAACCAAGAGGGTCCTGGAGAGAAGAAGCTTCCAGCAGGAGGAGGAGAAACTTAGGCATTCGCGTTGTAAGCAAGTGTGCCATGCTTTGAAGTGTTCAGTAAGACTTGGTGTTTTGGCTCGTAGCTGTAGAGCTGTGGGAAATACGCTGTTTATTTTCACAGTAGCAGCCCCAGAGTTTTGGGTGGATCTTCGTGGTATGTAAGGAAAATCCTGGGTCAGGGTTGCCCATTGTGTCTGTTGCCGCCTCTACCTGAGGGAAGAAGGGAGAGGGAGAGCATATTTGGGGGAAGAAGTCAAGAATTGACTGCAGACCTGTTAATGTTGCAATGCCTATAAATATCCAAGAGGAGCCCTGGCCAGTTGCTCAGTGGTTAGAGCTTGGCCCTAGGACTAAAGGGTCATTTGTTTGATTCCCAATCAAGGACATGTACCTCGGTTGCCTGTCTCTGGCCTAGTGTTAGTGGGGCTTTCTGGGAGATAGAAATAGACAAAGGCTGATGCCTGAGCCAACTATTGCTAACCATGGATTTGCTTGTGGTGAGGGATAGAGGCACCATTCTAGATGTCCAATCACTTAACTAAGGGTGGCTTAGTTACGGACAGCACTTGTGATGGAATGATGCTTTGCCATTAAAAGTGGTCTTAATGCCAGGCCCGGTTTGGCTCAATGGACTGAAGGGTCTGTTTAAGGGCATGTACCCTGGTTGCAGGCACATCCCCAGTAGGGGTTGTGCAGGAGGCAGCTAATGGATGTTTCCAGCTCTCTATCCCTCTCCCTTCCTCTCTGTAAAAAAATCAATAAAATATATATATATTTTTAAATTAAATAAATAAATAAATAAGATATACGGAAAGGTGCTTGCCATAGTGGAGAAGCACCAGGATGCAAATTCAGCTTGTGTATAACCCCAACTTTGTAAAGAAAAACACACAAAGTAAATGTGCATAGCTGCTATTGCTTTGGTGGCTATATATATATTTATATATAGATATATATTTTTAATTTGGCTATATTTTCTAAACTGTAAAGTAAATCTATATATTTTATAACTTTTCAAATATAGGCTTTAGCCCAGCTGGTGTAACTCAGTGTCTGGGCATCGATCTATGAACCAGGAGGTTTTGATTCTGTTCCTGGTCAGGGCATATGCCTGTGTTGTGGGCTCCGTCCCCAATGGGGGGCTTGCAGGAGGTAGCCAATTAATGATTCTCTCTCATCATTGATGTTTCTTTCTTTCCTCCTCTCCCTTTTTCTGAAACCAATAAAAATATTTTTTTTAAATAATAAAAGCTTTATACTTTAGAATAAAGGCTTACAGAAAACTTGAGCAGATGATACAGAGTTAGATGTATTCTATCTGGTACCTGGCATCTTAAATCTGTGTGCTGCATTTGTTACAATTGTTGAACCAATATTGATACATCATTGTTAACCAGAGTTCAAAGTTCATTCAGTGTCTTTAGTTTTTTGTTTTGTTTTGTTTTGTTTTGTTTTGTTTTTAATATATTTTATTGATTTTGTATAGAGAGGAAGGGAGAGAGATAGAGAGTTAGAAACACCGATGAGAGAGAGTCATCGATCAGCTGCCTCTTGCACACCCCCTACTGGGGATATGCCCGCAACCAAGGTACATGCCCTTGACCGGAATCGAACCTGGAACCTTTTAGTCTCCAAGCCAACGCTCTATCCATTGAACCAAACCGGTCCTGGCAACTCAGTGTCTTTAGTTTTTATCAGTGACCTTTTCTGATCCAGGTCCACATTACATCCAGTTGTCAGGACTCCTTAGCCCCTTCCTGGGTCTTTCTCAGAGGTGGTGGTGGTGGTAGAGGTGGAGTGCAATTGCACTTCCCCTGAAGTGTCTCTCCTTTCAGCACCCAGAGTGTGTGTATGTGTTTATCTCTCCCCCCACCTTTTCCTCTCGCTCCCCTGCTTATAAACTAAGTTCTTTGGACCAGACCAAATGAGCGTTCTCACCTTGAAACCTGAATGACTAAGCCTGAGTTCTTCCTAGACTAGGAGCATTTTAGCTGAGCAGCAAAACCCCTTAGACTTAAGCCAGTTGCCGCACTAATGTGTGTGTTTCAGGCCTGAGTGGGCCTGGGGAATGGGAGCAGGGTCAGGCAGATGTCCTGTAGCCTTGCTTGGGACCTGGAGGGGCCACTTCCAAATCCCTGCTCCTATGCATGCAGCGGCTTCATCATTAGCACCTTTCCCATTTCTCTCGTGGATATTTGGAGTCTTTCAGTAAGCCACTGAGCATGCAGGATATGCCATGGAACTGCAGGTGTCCAGTGGGATGACGTGAAACAAAGTAAAATTGCTTCCTCTGTTGCTAGATTCCAAATTAGCATCCCAGGTGTGTTCTTCCCTCAAGAGGTAGCATGTTCTGTGGCCTTCATGACACAGGCCACACTTGCTCTATGTTTATGTATCACCACTGTGCCCATTGGGGTCTTAGCTGACTATATAGGCCCTGCTTCCATCCGCATCACTTTTCCCGCTGCAGTTTCCCTGAGGGCAGCAGTGTGTTTACACAGCCCATATAGGTAGAGGTCTGCAAAGGGTGCTTCTAGAGTGACACTCCTTTCAGCACCCAGAATGTGTGTGTGTGCTGACTTATCCAGATGAGGAGATGATCACAGGCACTTACTATTTTATTTTCTGTGTTCCATTAAACCTGGTCTGTGTTGAGCACTTCCACAGTCCAGGGCCTGGAGCTGGGAGTCCCAGCGAGATACTGGACCTGGAGGAGGAGGCCGGGCTTGTCTGACAAGTTTGTGTTGTTGCAGGGCAGCCAGGGTGACAGCAAGAATGCCAAGAAAAAGAACAACAAGAAAACCAACAAAAATAAAAGCAGTATCAGCCGAGCCAACAAGAAGAAACCCAGTATGCCCAATGTGTCCAACGACTTGTCCCAGAAGCTCTATGCTACCATGGAGAAACACAAAGAGGTGAGACACAGGGCAGGCCACAGAGCCCACCATTTCTGACCCTCTGGACCAAGATAAGAGAGGGGGGTTGCTGAAGAAGCCACAATCCTGCACCTGGCCAAGAGAAGGGAAAAGGCATGGTGACACCGTGTCTGGTGCATACAGTGGGAGGACCAGCCCCTAGAAGGCAAACCTGGCTGGTTGGAATCACCTCACAATGCATCATCAAGCCAGCTCATCCCCAGGGAGTTGGGCCTTTGACACCCTCCTGGGACAGCAGGTGTCAGGCTCAGCAGTCTCAGTTCTGCAGGCTGGGGTAGCCCAGGGCCCTGCAGGGCCAGCCCTCCTCAGCACCGCTCTCTGTGGGCTGAAATACTCCTGGTGTTCTTCCTGCAGGTTTTCTTTGTGATCCACCTCCATGCTGGGCCTGTCATCAATACGCTGCCCCCTATTGTTGACCCTGACCCCCTGCTCAGCTGCGACCTCATGGATGGGCGCGATGCCTTCCTCACCCTCGCCAGGGACAAGCATTGGGAATTCTCCTCTCTGAGGCGGTCCAAGTGGTCCACGCTGTGCATGCTGGTGGAGTTGCACACGCAGGGCCAGGACCGCTTTGTCTACACCTGCAATGAGTGCAAGCACCATGTGGAGACACGCTGGCATTGTACTGTGTGCGAGGTAGGCCCATCTCTCTCTCCCTGTGCCTCGCTCTGACAGAACTGGCAGAGCTGGTGTGGTCCATGAGTCTTGGCTGCTCCCAGCCCTCTGTGGTCTTTGCATTTGCATTTTAGATTGAACTATTAGACAGTTGGCACTTCTCAGGGGTTAAAAATGACAACAGCTCCTCTAAGGGCGCTGTTGATTATAGGGTAGATTGTTTTGAGTTCACACATAAGAAGATTAACTCTTATTGATTGAGTTCCTGCTATGTAATCGCACTAGGTTCAATATCAGACATTCAGGATAAGAACAAGCCTGTCTCCCTTGGTTAAGCATGGTCTGGTGGTGACCACACTGAGCATGACAGTGACAGGACCCCCTTAGCAGGACAAGCTGATCTTCCTGGGAGTCAGCGAGCACTGACTTGTCCAGATGAGGAGACAACCACAGGCACTTATTTCCTGTGTTTCATTAATACTGGCTCTGTATCGGGCACATCCACAGTCCTCATGGTGCCAGAGCAGGAGCATGGAGAGAGCAGGAGAGGCGTTGGCAGTGCTTTGATCCTTCCAGAACTTTAGTAACTCTTTTCCCTTGTCCTGGTTGGACCCAGTGGCCATACCATACCATACTGGCTCCCCTTGCAGAAGTTTTGTCCCGTGTGCGAAGGGGCGGGGTCTTTTTCTTGCATAGATGAGTCCCTCACATGGGGTGAGCCAGGCTGTTTTGAGCCTTTCATCTCCCCACTGCAGACAATCATAGACTTCTCCCAGTCCAAAGTTGGCCTCCAGGATGATCTCCACAGTCCTACAGAAGTGGCTCTGTGATCTCTGAGGGGAAGAGCAGAGCCTTTGTAATGCCCTCCTCATTTTTATTTCCTACTTTTTCCAACCTCTGTTTGTTCTCCCTCTCATTTCCTACCGCTGGGATTTTCATGTCTTTACTATGAAAAGGTTATTAGTCCTGGCCATAGGGTTCCATTCTCTGCTCTAGCACCTGTTGTCTGTCTCCAGACATAGGTGGCTTTTAGAAACTGGGGAGAGGGCCTTTCCCCCAGTGAAGGCCTCTTAGCTCCAGTGTCTTCCTGGACCGTCTTGCAGAGCTCTGGGGATGTACTGAGGGCACCCAGTCTCTAGGAACTCATGTCAGTGGCATTTCAGATGCTCATGTGGCAGGCGCGTGGGAGCAAATGGGTATCGCAACAGTCATTCTTTCACTGTCAGGCTTCCCAGGCCAGGCTGGGAGTGGGATGGCTGGGTGTGATTCCCCAGGGTGCAGAGAAAGGAAGGAAAGGGGAACCAGTGCCCACCAGTGACTCGAAAGCCTTGGGGGGACATGAAGCCACACACCATATGCATGGGTGAGCCTATATACCTGCTCACAAGGTTGGGAAATGCCAGGGGGCCCTGGAAGAGTGTGGGTGAGGGCGAATAGATGGATCTCGTGGTCTTTGGAGCCTTTTGGGCTGTGGAGAAGTTCCCAGAAGTGAAGGTCCCGGGGTGGCTGGGATGTCTGGTAACGCTGGGCCACATGCTGATGCTAGCCTGACCCCTTTCTCTGTCTGCAGGACTATGACCTTTGCATCAACTGCTACAACACAAAGAGCCACACCCACAAGATGGTGAAGTGGGGCCTGGGCCTGGACGACGAGGGCGGCAGCCAGGGTGAGCCGCAGTCTAAGAGCCCCCAGGAGTCACGGCGCCTGAGCATCCAGCGCTGCATCCAGTCCCTGGTGCACGCCTGCCAGTGCCGCAACGCCAACTGCTCGCTGCCATCCTGCCAGAAGATGAAGCGGGTTGTGCAGCACACCAAGGGCTGCAAACGCAAGACCAATGGAGGCTGCCCAGTATGCAAGCAGCTCATCGCCCTTTGCTGCTACCACGCCAAACACTGCCAGGAAAACAAATGCCCCGTGCCCTTCTGCCTCAACATCAAACACAAGCTCCGCCAGCAGCAGCTCCAGCACCGCCTGCAGCAGGCGCAGCTCATGCGCCGGCGAATGGCCACCATGAACACCCGCAACGTGCCTCAGCAAAGCCTGCCTTCCCCTACCTCAGCACCACCCGGGACCCCTACACAGCAACCCAGCACACCCCAGACACCACAGCCCCCGACCCAGCCCCAGCCCTCGCCTGTGAGCATGTCACCAGCCGGTTTCTCCAGCGTGGTCCGAACTCAGCCCCCCACCACAGTGTCCACTGGGAAGCCCACCAACCAGGTGCCAGCCCCACCACCCCCCGCCCAGCCCCCACCTGCAGCGGTGGAAGCAGCCCGGCAGATTGAACGCGAGGCGCAGCAGCAGCAGCATCTATATCGGGTGAACATCAACAACGGCATGCCCCCAGGGCGCACAGGCATGGTGACTCCTGTGAACCAGATGGCCCCCGTGGGCCTGAATGTGCCCCGGCCCAACCAGGTCAGTGGGCCTGTCATGCCCAACCTGCCCCCTGGGCAGTGGCAGCCAGCACCCATCCCCCAACAACAATCGATGCCGGGCATGCCCAGACCCGTGATGTCTATGCAGGCCCAACCAGCAGTAGCCGGACCACGGATGCCTAATGTTCAACCGCCTCGAAGCATCTCGCCCGGCGCCCTGCAGGACCTGCTGCGGACCCTGAAGTCTCCTAGCTCCCCGCAACAGCAGCAGCAGGTGCTCAACATCCTCAAGTCAAACCCTCAGCTGATGGCAGCTTTCATCAAACAGCGCACAGCCAAGTACGTGGCCAGTCAGCCCGGTCTGCAGCCCCAGCCCAGCCTCCAGGCTCAACCTGGCCTGCAGCCCCAGCCTGGCCTGCACCAGCAGCCCAGCCTGCAGAACCTGAATGCCATGCAAGCCAGCGGCCCGCGGCCCGGTGTGCCTCCGCAGCAGCAAGCAATGGGAGGCCTGAACCCCCAGGGTCAGGCCCTGAACATCATGAACCCGGGACACAGCCCCAGCATGGCGAGTATGAGCCCACAGTACAGAGAGATGCTGCGGAGGCAGCTGTTGCAGCAGCAGCAGCAGCAGCAGCAGCAGCAGAGCAGTGCTGGCATGGCTGCAGGCATGGCAGGACACGGCCAGTTCCAGCAGCCTCAAGGACCTGGAGGCTATCCCCCGGCCATGCAGCAGCAGCGGATGCAGCAGCACCTGCCCATGCAGGGCAACTCCATGGGCCAGATGGCAGCTCAGATGGGACAGCTCGGCCAGATGGGGCAGCCTGGGCTGGGCGCAGACAACACCCCCAACATCCAGCAAGCTCTGCAGCAACGGATTCTGCAGCAGCAACAGATGAAGCAGCAGATTGGGTCTCCAGGCCAGCCAAACCCCATGAGCCCCCAGCAGCACATGCTCTCAGGACAGCCACAGGCCTCGCACCTCCCTGGCCAGCAGATGGCCACATCCCTTAGTAGCCAGGTGCGATCTCCGGCCCCTGTCCAGTCTCCACGGCCCCAGTCCCAGCCTCCACATTCCAGCCCATCACCACGGATACAGCCCCAGCCTTCACCACACCACGTCTCACCCCAGACTGGTTCTCCCCACCCAGGACTCGCAGTCACCATGGCCAGCTCCATAGATCAGGGACACTTGGGGAACCCCGAACAGAGTGCAATGCTACCACAGCTGAATACCCCCAACAGGAGTGCGTTGTCCAATGAGTTGTCCCTGGTTGGCGACACCACAGGAGACACCCTAGAAAAGTTTGTGGAGGGTTTGTAGCATTATGAGAGCATCACTTTTTTTTCCTTTCATGTCCTTGGACCTTTTGTACTGAAATCCAAGCATCTAGGTTCTTTTTATTCCTAGATGGAACTGCTACTTCCAGGCCACGGAAGGGTAGATTGCTGTTTAAAGAAACAATACAAAGAATATATTTTTTTGTTAAAAACCAGTTGATTTAAATATCTGGTCTCTCTTTCTCTCTCTCTCTCTCTCTTTTTTTTTTTTTTTTTTTTTGTTTGTTTTTTTGTTTTGGGGGGAGGGGGGATTGTTTGGATTTTTTTGTTGTCATTGCTGGTGACTCATGCCTTTTTTAATGGGAAAAACAAGTTCATTATATCCATATTTTTTATTTGTATTTTCAAGACTTTAAACATTTATGTTTAAAAGTGAGAAGAAAAATAATATTCAGAAACTGATTCTTGAAATAATGCAAGCTTATAATGTATCCCGACAACTTTCTGACGTTGCGGGAAGATTTTTTTCTATTGTGAACTCTGTGGGCGTTCTCCAAGTATTACCCCTGGACGATAGGAATTGGCTCCTACGTGCACACACATACACACCCACACACATCTATCTATACATACTGGCTTAAGCCGAACTCTTGTCTTGCAGATGTAGAAATTGTTGCTTTGTTTCTCTGATAAAACTGGTTTTAGACAAAAAATAGGGATGATCACTCTCTTAGACCATGCTAATGTTAATAGAGAAGAGCATTCTTTCTTCTATGTGAAACTTGAAATGAGGAAAAGCAATTCTAGTGTAAATCATGCAAGCGCTATAATTACTATAAATAAGAAAATTCAAGAAGATTCAATCACTGTATAGAATGGTAAAGTACCAACTCATTTCTTATATCATATTGTTAAATAAACTGTGTGCAACAGACAAAAAGGGTGGTCCTTCTTGAATTCATGTATATGGTATTAACACTTAGTGTTCGGGGTTTTTGTTAATGAAAATGCTGTTTTCAACATTGTATTTGGACTATGCATGTGTTTTTCCCCCCATTGTATATAACGTACCGCTTAAAATTGATATAAATTACTGAAGTTTTTAACATGTATTCTGTTCTTTAAGATCCCTGTAAGAATGTTTAAGGTTTTTATTTATTTATATATATTTTTGGAGTCTGTTCTTTGTAAGACATGGTTCTGGTTGTCTGCCCGTAGAGGAGGCGGGTGGGCAAAGTCCTAGTAGTCAGCAGATGGCAACAGGGCTCAGCCGAGACCTTGAAGGTTCTTTCCAATGACCGGGTCAGTCAGCTCAGTGATGGCTATACATACTCAATGCTCACGAAGGAACTTCACCCAGAATTAGGGACACAAATGGGTCAGAAAAAGTACTTTGCCTCCTGTCCACCATCCCTCTCTTAGTCACCCTACCCCAGCAACCCTAGGGAGGTTCCTGCATTTGTTTCTGTCCCAACCACTCCCCTTCCTGTATACTGATCTCAATCCCAGAATTGATGCAAAAGGTGCTTCAGGGAGTAGAGGGTGGTTTCTACCCCCTTCCCCCGGCATTCTTAGTTCAATGGGGGAGGATGCCGCTATGCCCTGCACAGCCTCCAGCACTGGGCTGAACAGGCATAGCTTCGGCCCTTCTTTCCCCACCCTCTAGAAAGAGTGAGGTGCAGCCTCTGAGCCCTGGATACCAGCCTTGCTATGGGGAGAAGAGGCCTCCAGCTTTTGGGGATACTTGCACTCAAGCACCAGGTTGGTCCCTCCCCTCTGTCCAGTTTCAGATTACCTTATTGAGAGGGTGACACTAGAGTTCCCGAATGCTGTAAAAATCCCATCTGAGCGGACAGCCACCACCCAGAGGGCTGAAGTTAATCCTCTAGGTTATGCCCCCTTCTGGGGCACTAGTGAGCTGAGTTCTGTCTCTTATCCCTTGTTTCCCCCCCCCCCACCCCCCCAACCAGAGAGTGGTCTAGATCAGGAGCTGTGTTAAATTTTGAAATTGTTGCCCAAATAGCTTTTGTTTGGGCCCTTTATTTACAGAAATATTTTCAAAACACTTGATTCGGGAATCTAAATTTGAGGAATTTAAGAAATTTGTTTTAGTACAGAGCTTACTTAGAATCTTGGGTTTTACTTAGAATATTATAAATTAAGTCAAGTAAGATTAAGATCATGTAGCACCACCAATCCACATCTTCACCCTTTCCAAGGGAGAAAGTAAGGACATGGCCCTCTAGTGACCATCTGGCCATCTTTGCTCAGCTTGCCCACTTTCTTGCACCATTGATGCTCTTTTTCCCCCAATTGGAAAGCCCTGACCCCATGTTCAGACAGGAAGGGGTGAGCCATCTGGGGCCCTGGAAAGGCGGCTCCACGCCCAAGCTCTGGATGTGCAGCCTTTTAACAGTGGGAGGCATCTTTTTCAGGTGATCCTGGAATCCAAAACTGGACCGACCTCATCTTGGAGTCCACGTCCCTGCAATCCAGATGCCAGAGGATGCAGCTGAGGGTGTGGTCTGTGGGTGCCCATCCTGCACTCGGCGTATGGAAATGTCTGTAAGAGCTGGAAAGCCCGGATGCTGTGTCTCAATGCTGTATACGTAGGAGGAGAAGAAAACAGTCCTATATTTGTGATAAAAAAGAGGAAACTTGAAATGTGCTGGTGTTTATAATAAAAGCTGGTAAAACTGCTTGGATTCAAAGGTGGTTCCAGTTGGCTAATGACCCTTAGAATTAGTTAGCTAATCAGGAAAAGACTGGAAGGGCTTGGTTGAGTTTGTCTTAGTGTGTTTTTTACTATGTTTTTGAGAATTTGGCATGTTAAAAGCAGGAATTGAATGCAACCTCTGGAAAGGCTTCAATTTTTAAGATCTCTTGCTGAAGACACACAACTTTCTCCTTTGATTGCCATAAGATGAAACCCAAGACGATTTAAGCCAAACAGAGCTTTTATCACTGCATAGGGGAATGGACTCCTCTGGAAAAGGCAAGTCCTTTGATGAAGGAGCTGAGTTCTAGGAAACAGTCATTGTTCATAGTCTTTACTCAAGATCAGTGCTGGGAAGTAGACACTGCAGCGATGTCTCCTTGGCTAATGGATGTGAGGAGCATGTAGGAATGGTGGCAAAACCCATTTGGGATCATAAAGCCACAGTGTACCTTCCCAGAATGTCCCATGTCCATTCCACTGCATGATGGGTACGTTCATTGTGGAGAGTATGGGTCGGTCAGTTACACCAAATTGGAGCGAATGTAGCACCAAGCTAACAGGCTAGCCTGAGGAACTTTGGGTGAGTAGATGGTGTTTTCATTGTGCTCACAGCTTCTAGAGAGAACTTACTAGGATCTATTGACCATGATGCCGCTAGAATTACTTCACTAAACCGAAAAGGTCAAAGGGTACTGACAGCTTAGAACACTTTGGTTAAGGAAATGGTACAAGTGGTGGGAGGGGATTCGGAGGAGACGAGATCTAGTCGTAGGAAGCATGGGCCTGAGGCTTCTGTGAGGCTGGGAATCAGTATTGACGGTGTGGTGGTACTTGGGCACCAGGCTTCAGCCTTAAGTGAGCTCCCTAAACTCTGCTTTCTTGTCTGCTTTCTGTACTGGGTAACAATGCTGTTTAAATGCATTATCAACTTCTTTGCCCTGGCCAGGAGGCAGGAGAACGGAGGCAGTAACTTGAGTTCATGAGCAGCAAGGGCAGACATGGGCCCCAGCCATGTGCCTGTGCCCAAAAGGAGCTTTTCCTCCTGGCCTTGAAAATTGCCCTACATGCTTGCCTCCCCTCCATATTCCACAGATTCACCTTGAACCCACTTTGGGGAAGTGAGGACAGAACATTGTAACCCCTCAAAAGTCAGTAAATGGTAACTAACAAAGAACTACCTCAGTCTGCCTGTATCTAGTGCCCACTGGTTCACTGGCATCACAGAAAAAAAAAAAATGTCGACAGTGTTGGTAAACTAAAAAATGCAAGGGAGGTAGTGTGGTTTACAGAAGTGATGGTCTTTCAGGAAAATGTCCAGAGAGGACAATTTTGGGAAGGACAGGGTTGTGAGCAAGGCTGCCAGACACCCTGCACCAGGCCCCTTCCTTCTCTCCGACCCCACCCAGGACCCTTCATTCACATCTGGGCACAGGCTGTGGGCCCACAGAAGAGGGAAAGTTATTTTATGTGCTGCTGCACAGTGAGTGGCAGGAGGTCTGTTGACGAAGGGAAAGCCTTAGGGACCAGATGCTGGCACCATGGCTGTGTTCCCTTAACTAGATGTAGAGAAAGCGCAGTGGGCCAGGGAGTCCTTCAGAGTCAACAGGTTCAGCAGCCAGTACTGGTGTCACCAATGGGAGTAAGAGCTCTGCGGGCAGAAGCATGGAGTACTCGCCGCGTTTTAAGGGACGCCCATCCTCACTTGTTCTCTCTAGACATTTGAGTTCAAGTAAGCAGGCTTTCTCAAAGCACTGAGTTTTTCCCCTCAGCAAGCATCCATTGAGCAGATCCTAGGCTATGAGATACAGTCTTTGGAGAACTCGGTAGAGACAGACAACAAATGGAGGAAGGTGCTAGATGGCGTTAGAGCTCAAAGCAGGGCACAGAACCCAGTTTGTGTTGAAAATAAGGACAGTGTCTCTTAGGGCCAAGAATTGCCAGTGTTCCATAGTTTAGGATACACATTCTTCTCCTTAGCATTCCTTAGGACAGTGCTTTTTCAGCTCTAATGTCATATGAATTATATGGGCTCTTGCGGGGGTAAGGGGGTGAAGGAGGCTGAGTTTCCAAATCCAGCGGTCCCAGCTGAAGCTGCTGGCCCTGTCTATACTTTGAGGAGTAAGGCTACAGGGTACCACGGGAAAAAATTCTTGACTTTGAAACTGCCTTACTTCATCTCAATGTTCACAATAAACGTGGTTTTAGGGGCTGTGATCGGCAAACTGCAGCTCGCGAGCCACATGCGGCTCTTTGGCCCCTTGAGTGTGACTCTTCCACAGAATACCATGGCCTGGGCGAGTCTATTTTGAAGAAGTGGCATTAGA